ACACACACACACACACACACACACACATATATATATATATATATATATATATATATATATATATATATATATATATATATATATATATATATATATATATATAATGTAATATATATATAAGGGGGTATGGGAGTTAGATTGTTTACTGTGGTTTTCCGTTTTGTATTTTCTTTTCTTTTTTTCTCTTTTTCTTTCTTACTTTTATTGATTTATTATTATTATGTTTACACTGCTCTATTACTCCGATTCACACACTAAAATGTGGATACATATGATTTCTAATGGCTATTACGTTTTTTTTTTTTCAAATGTTTTGCCACAAATTTCAGAATCCCAATGTCAATTTTCAAAACTCTAGACACAAAACTCTAAACACTTTTAACACAAGCTCTCCAGTGTTCAAAACTCTGCATGCTGTGTTCATTTCCTTAAAGAAGTCTTGCATTTGCAGGATCATTGGTTCACATAATATTTTTTATCACACACATACTACAGGAACATTACTTTAAATCACTAGCACACAAGATGCACATCGTTTCAATAAACAATCTTTAACAATCATTACATATTGTTCTTTAAAATATATAAGGTTTCATTATATAGGTTTATACATAAGTGTAGAGGAAACAGTACAGAAAAACTTATTCAATTATACTATAGTGTCAGTTTACTGTAATTTTTTCCTAACGTCCCCATATAGAAAGCTGATACATGGCATAATATATGGCAACATATGTAAATTACAATTGGATTTCACAAACAGTATATAAAATGTCATAGTCAATAAATTGTCAAAACAGTGCAAAAACACTGTTTACATTTTTTCAATCATATATTTATTTATACAACAGTTCTGTCTGGTTCTCGAATCTGATTGGCTGATAGCCGTGATATATTTAAGTAATATCAGCACTCCGCCCACATACAGCCAGCAAAAAGCAGACACTACAGATCTAAAGTTTAAAAGATGCTTGCTCAGCTGTTTAACTGTCAGCTTATGATTTGAATCCAATGCGGAAGAAAGTAGTTCCTCATACAAAAGGGTTTTTAAGACTTTCCTTGTTTGATTTTGTTTTTTATATACACGATTATGCCGTCAAACTGTTGTATAAACGCAATATTAAACTCGTAGCAGTGCAATATGGCTGTATATCGGCACTGTTGGAAGCACTAATGCACGCCTCCCACCAGTGCTAATGTACACTTAAAAATTGTCCCGTTAAAAAAACAGTAAAATACTGGCAGCTGCAGTTGCCAGCAATGTACTGTTATTTTACAGTATGTTGCTGTAAAAATACATGGACTACATTGATTTACACAATACTCAAGTGAACTCATTTTGCTCACTGAAAGCAACTGCCTCAACTTGGTCAACTGCTGAATGAGTTTATGAAGTAATGTGCTATATATGCTTAGAAGCATACTTATAATGATAACTTATTTTAGTTAATTAGAAAAGTTCGGTTTAACTCTAATGTCTTAATTTTCACAACAGCACACATACATGTAAATCTGGAACTACCAGAGAGATTCTGACTGCATCAGCCACTAAATTATCTTTAAATAGAGAAACATGCAGAATAACATCAGCAGTTCACTGTTCATCTTTAACTCATACACTGGCTCTACTCTCCTCCACAACGGTGACATACAGAAGAAATTAGCTTCAGGTTTTACAGTAAAATACTGTTTTTTCCTTGATTTAACGGTAATCTACTGGCAGCTGTGGTTGCCAGCAATCTACTGTTTTTTTACATTCTATTTCCGTAGTGTAAATTAACAGTATATTACTGTTAAAATACATTTTTACACTGTGTTTTTACCTCTCACACCTTTAACCCTTTAAACCCCAGAGCATATACTTCAGTTTTTATTGAAGTGTCCACACTACTGAGTGTTCAAGAAACATGTAGCAAAGCTGAAGTAAATTCATTAATTAACTAACTAATTAAATGATAATTGAGGATTAACAATGAACAAATGAAGAAATAGTGAAGGGAAAAAACAAGAACAGAACATACAAAACTTTAGTCACAGCTTTATAATGAAATAACCTGTAGAACAACAAATGATTAAATCATTTAAATGATCAGCGGATGATTAAACAACTCTACAAACATCATCACCAGCTACGCTTATTACTTAATACATGTATTTTTGTATAACATCTACTAAAGTTCTTCTTGAGAAAAAGTCAAAGTTTTACGTCACCATCATGGAGAACAGAGTTTGCTTTAGTTGGGCTCTTAGCCCTGTCATTTTTAACATTATTATATATATTGGCTGCTGCAATTGTTAAGAACTTTGTTTAAAAAGCTCCTTTGTTGTGGCAAGCCAGCCAAAAACCTAAGTCTGTTCTCATTTAGTATAATAAAAATTACTGCTCCTATTCAATGTTAAATCTATTGTTTTACATTATATGTCTATATATGGCAATGGTTTCTGGTAATTTTTAAGAATATCTTGGACAATAACACTGCTCTACGGTGTATATCGCACTCAAAGAGACACCAATAATCAGCATATGAACCTCAATAATGGTGGCAACTAACAAAATTAACAGTTTAACTCACAAACAGGCAACTGAAAGTCTAAACATAAACAACAGCAGAATAAAACACAAATAAAGAAAACTGTAAGACCATTATACAACATTTATTTATACCGCAATGCATGCTGGGATATTTGTACCGTGCCACTCCCAGCATGCATTGCAGCATGAAACATTTGAGATGTTACCATTGTTGAGATACAAGGTCAGATTCATGAGGTCTGAGTGTGTATTTGTCATAACTGAACTGTTTTTGTATGTTATTTCTTAACTGTTAAGTAATTACAGAGGTATCTTTTCTGTTTCCACTTCTCATTAATTAAATTAATACCTGCAACTAAGCATAAAATCTATTGCATGAGGCCCTTCTTCCAGATTTATAACAAAACATATACCAGAACTAATTTCAGACAAATAGATTTCTCTATTTAGTGACTTTCCAACTTGATTGCTATAATACAAGCATTTTAATAATTCTTTAATATAGTAATTGGAGAGTCTGAATTAATAAGTTCAAGGGTGAAGAGTCCAACTAAACCAGCCCTTCACTCCATTACGGTGACACAAAAAACAACTTAATTTCTGTTGGATCTCAATGAGAATAGTATGGAAGTCAAATCAGTCAGTAATAAGTGTGTGTCTGCTGTTGTTTGTGGAGTTGTTTAATGATCCTCTGCTGAGAGTGAAGCTGTTTTATTTTATTAGATTTTATTTAATGTTGTAACTCAAGTCACTGTTTGTGTTTCTTGTTTATTTTCTTCAGTAATTGTAATTATTAACAGCAGGTGTTCATCAGTGTCTGAATTCACCCATTAGGGTTCATTAACACTGTCAGGTGAACTATATTAGTTAACTAGTGTATGAAATAGTGAACAAGGACACAAAGCATGATTTCAAACACAGACTTCAAAACATCGAATCTGAACTCTGTTAGCTCACAGTTTTCTGCTGTTGGTTACTTTCTCGAAAACAAAAATATTACCCAGAAAGCACTGTTTTTAATAAAATATTACTGTTTTAGTGAAAAAACACTATTTTACCGTAGAATCTGACCGTTTTTTAACAGCAATTTTTTACAGTGTACAGCCATATCGCACTGCTACTGGTTATTATCAGGTTTCTATTTTGGGATCTGTGTTTCCATCAGTCTGGGTCTGTGGATTTAGTCACAAGTTTTCTGTACATCACAGTGGTGTTTTCATTAGTCAAAATCTTGGACAGAACCTTTTGTCAATGTGAATCCAGCCTGACATTGGTCTGCTGTGATTGGGCTTTCTTACATACCGTACAGTAATGTCAAATATGAAAACATTGTCTGTAAAAGTGGTACATGGAACAAAAAAAAAAAAAAAACATAAATATGGAATAAGGATGAATAAGGATGAAATCTATAAATAATGTAGTCCAGTTGGGTTATTTGTCATTTTGAGCGCTTGTATCAGTTGATAATAGACATCATGTTAAGTAAATGAATATGCTTTTTTTTTTTTCAAACGTAATGTTTGAGTTGCATTTTGAAATGGGATCAATTTGATGTTTAATTGTATTATATTGAAAAGGTTATCTTAGTTCAGTGAACAAATTATCTTTGACTTGTGTGTATTGTATCCAATCATTTGAAAAAGAAGTTAAGAGTTTAGCAAAACCGTACAATTTTGGCAATGGTTGTTATCTTTGTTTCTAGAGTTTTGAAAATTGACAACAGAGTTCTAAAATTTGTGTCAAAATGATTGTAAATTTTTTTTTATTTAATTAATATAATGTTGTTTAATATAAGATTAAATGTAAAAGAATCCTTACATTTTTAAAAAGAGAAAAGCTGATGTTGCTCTATAACAGGAAACACAAATGTTCAGTGAAGAGCACACAAAACTTAAAAGAGACTGGGTAAGACAGATATATTCACTAGACGTTTGCTGAAACGAAGCTGAAACATCATCAGCTCTTTTAATTTATGCTTGATGTTAAAAAAATTTCTCAATTAGAAGTTTAAAAAAATAAAACAAAAAAGCAGATTTTGGATAATGTATGCTGAAGCATACTTACTGTTCAAAACATATATCTCTTGCAGATGTCCTTTTCTTTGTTTTGTGTGAACAAAAAATATTTTTCCAGATTTCTAAAACAAAGTTTTGTGTTCTGAGTGAACCCTTAGAAATGTAGCAGCCTAATAATGCACAGGATTGTATCATAGTCAAAGTCTCAAGAACAATACCTGTTTAATTTTAAATCAAAAATTTTTTCTTTGCAGTTCATACATGTTTTATTATTATTATTATTATATACTACATGGTTCAGACCCTAAAAAACGATTTATTTTGGAGAAGAAGAAGAAGAATTAATATTACTAATAAATAATTCACGCACAGCCTGCACGGATCCTTATAACAACTTAAGTGGCGGACCCCACGTCTCCTGCGCCCCTGGCGCTCCCGAAGCACAGTGTGATTGGATAAAAGTCGGTCGTGCGGAGCCGTTGTCTCCAATAGTATCTGGATGCATTGTATGCCTTGTTAAAAATTAAGGGTTCCCATCAAATTTCACGTATAGGCTATTGCTCACAGAATGTGCTGGTGGAGGGTCAAAGTGACTTGTATTGCTTCACTGTGCAGTCTGATCTGTACCGGACGCGATGAACATGGTGCCTTGGACGCATTTCAGAGTTGGAACCCAACTTGTTTTCATCCCGCGCCATGTAACTGGCACCAACGTGTCGTAACAAGCTAGAGTAAAACGTCAGATTTAATTCAAGGAAAAAGTTTTTTAAACAGGAGCACTTATCTACCTCGCAAGGATGCCGGATGTTCTGGATCTGTACATTGGAATGGAGCTGCTCATTGCCCTTTTCTCTGTCATTGGGAATGTTATGGTGGTCTGGGCTGTGAGAATCAACCGAACTCTCCGTGACACGACCATTTATTTCATCGTCAGTTTAGCTCTGGCGGACATCGCAGTTGGGGCACTTGTCATTCCTCTGGCCATTACCATAAGCATCGGGCTTAAGACAAACTTTTACAGCTGTCTGCTGGTTGCATGTACTGTACTGGTACTAACGCAAAGTTCAATTCTTGCCCTTCTGGCTATTGCTATTGACCGCTATCTGAGAGTCAAGATACCAATGAGGTAATAAGATTTTAATTTCAAATAGGCAGTTTAATAGTCAACTTTTAAGGCTTAACAACTGTGATAACCTGTCAGTTTAGGCAATCAATTAATTGCCTAAAAGTGTAAAAACAAAATCTTGATCCGTAATTAATTTCAAACCCATATTGATGTATTAATGAAACGGAACTGAAAAAAAGAGGCTAAAATATTTTCAGGGAAAACGAATTTTATGCTACGTTTTTTTTAACAAAACAAAAACAAATGTAAAGTAGATAGAGTGAAAAGGATGACAGCATTTTAAATTTTGGATTTATTTTTTTGCAAAAAAAAAAAAAAAAAAGGCACCTAAAAGCAAACTAAGAAGGGTTATAAATTACGAATAATTTTACGCTGACAATCGTTAATGGAATGATTACTTAACTAAAATTATTATTGTGTAAGGGTTTAATGCTACAATAATTATTTAGGAAATGCAAAGCTGAAGCCAAAATGCAACAGCTTTGAGTCTTCATGAACACATAATTTACACCAGTTCTGCAAATGTAGTGTGTGCAAATTGTAATCTTAAAATCATGAATCCTTTATTCCTCCTGTTTCTGTCATTGAATGCTTCTGATTGTTTAGACATTGTCAAACTTTATTCTAATAGTTAAATAGTATTGTGCTCTGGTCTAAGTTTTGGTAAGGTAATTACACTGGACAAGTTCATAGTTTAACAAAGCAACTAGAGCCTATTTGCCAGCTGAGTGGATGGCATGCTTCACTAGCCTCATTTGCGTTGTCTGAAAAGAGCTCCTCTTCACAGAGAAGGGATTGTGTAAAAATTAAAAAAAAAAAAAAAATGTAATGCTTGCTTCCCAACAGAAATTCTGTAGTTAATCACCAATTTTAAATTCTGATATCCACAGCATCTAACACATATATTTCAGCAATTTATTGCAGATGTACACCACATGATGTTCTAAAACAGATTATGAAGTTGCTTCAATAACTTTAACATAAAAAATAAGATACAGATTTATAGATGGTTTTCACTTAAGAGTCACAGCACATCACTGAAACAGAGTTTTAATATTACACAGAACAAAATTGAACTGATATTGACATGAGCTGATTGTAATTATTTTTTGCAGTTTCAATGCTTTTTGGATTATAAAGTTTTCCCTTTCTGAAGCTGTTATTTGACTTTGTATTTTGGTCTAATTTTACAACTTTGACATTCCCTCATAGCTGGTGGGCTTTATGATTCCTATGAATTTTTATTTTTATTTTTTTCCTCATCACAGCTATAAAAGAGTGGTGACTCCAAATCGTGCCGGTGCTGCAGTGGTGGTGTGTTGGATGGTGGCCATCGTAGTTGGCCTGATGCCTATGTTGGGCTGGAACAATCTGGACAAGCTACAACAGACAAACGGCACAGTGGGTGTTGACCTTCTCATAACCTGTGAGTTTGAAAATGTCATCAGCATGGAGTACATGGTCTATTTCAATTTCTTTGGCTGGGTGTTGCCACCACTCATCCTCATGTTGCTTATCTACATTGAAATTTTCTTCATAATCCACAAGCAGCTCAACAAGAAGGTCATCACCAACCAAACAGACCCCACTCGATATTATGGGAAGGAGCTGAAGCTGGCGAAATCTCTTGCACTGGTGCTACTTTTGTTTGCTGTTAGCTGGCTACCCCTACATATCCTAAATTGCATAACTCTCTTCTGTCCTAATTGTGACAACTCCATGTGCCTTCTTTATGTGGCTATCTTGCTCAGTCATGGTAATTCTGTTGTCAATCCCATTGTTTATGCATTCCGCATTAAGAAATTCCAGAATGCTTTTCTTAGGATTTGGAAACAATATGTGTGCTGCACAGACAGTCCATGTCTTTCACATAGATAGCACAGATGATATCTGTTGGTATTCTAAACAGGTCACTGTGAGAATCACTTTTTAAAAATGTACCTACACATGTTTGTATATTTAAATATCCCTGAAAACAACCCAATCCGAACCAGCCATAGAAAAAAAGGCAAATCATCATATTCTTAATCATCTTGATAAATTACATAATATTAAAATGTATGTATTTGGTGTTTTCATGGATTTATACTATTTGCCAATATTAGACAATATTGTATTGTCTGAAGGAACAGTGGACTCAAAAATATATATGTGGAGGCCTGAAGTGTAAAGATAGGGCAATTGCTGGATCCACTTATTCCATACTCACTATCTTTCAGCTTAGTCCCTGTTTTATTAAGGGGTTGCCACAGCAGAATGAACTGCCGATTACTCTTGTATTAGCTGTATCCAGCAGAAGCCCATCCAACCACAACGCAGCATTGGAAAACACCCATACACTGTCATTCACACACACTCATACAATACTGCCAATTAAGTTTATTCACCTATACTGCATTTGTTCGGAATTTAAAGGAAAGCAGTGCACACAGAGGAAACCCACGTGAACAAATGGGAAATATTTCAACTCTGCATAGAAATGTCTCCTGGTCCATCCAGGACGCGAACAAGCGACCTTCTTGCCGTGAGGTAACAGCACTAACCACTGAGCCCTGTCGGCCCTGTCTTTTGTCATGGTCATCAAAACGTATAACGTGGAAAAAAAGCTTAGAATCTCTTTATTGACATGGTGGCTGGAAATATTGACATTTTTTTTTGAGGAACTACCAGTGGTAATCGCAATATTATTGTAATGGTTATTCATTCATTCATTCATTTTCTTTTCGGCTTAGTCCCTTTTTTAATCTGGGGTCACCACAGCAGAATAAACCGCCAACTAATCCAATATATGTCAGGATCAGTTGCACAGAGAGCTGTGTAGACCCAGAGCCTGGAGCTTTGGTGTTGAATGCTGAGCTGTAGTCTACAAACAGCATTCTCACATATGTGTTTTTGCTTTCCAGGTGAGACAGCAGTGTTGAAGGTGAAAGCAATTGCATCATCAGTGGAGTGATTATTCCTTTATGCAAATTGCAGAGGGTCAGCGTGAGCGGGCAGTACAGAGCATATGTGCTTTTTAATCAGCTTCTCATAGCACTTGCTGACCAGTCATTCAAGCATGTGGTTTTAGCTAATTTCGGAATGGGCACAATAGTAGCTGTCTTAAAGCATGTGGGAACCACTGACAGAGAGAGCGAGAGGTTAAAGATGTCCATGAAACTCCCTCTAGCTGGTGTGCGCATGCTTTAAGTACACGTCCAGGGATGCCATCTGGGCCCATAGCTTTCCAGATGCTCACGTGACGGAAAGATCTTGTTACGTCCGCTACATAAACAGAGAGTGTGCTGGCGGTTTCGGTATCTCTGTCTCTGTATTGACATTTTGCTGCTTTGATGGTTTTCCTGAGGTAGTAATTTGCTTGTTTTTGTTCCTCAGCATTTCTGGATACATAGGCGGAAGCTCGCACTGATAGGGTTGTTCGAATTTTGCCATTAATCCATGGTTTTTGGCTGGGGTAGATACAGACAGTTTTTTTGGGGACCACATCTTCTATAGACTTTCTGATGAAGCATGTAACTGTGTCTGAGTACACTTCAATGTCTTCATCAGAAGCTGCCCGGAACATATCCCAGTCCACGTGATCAAAACAGTCTTAAAGTATGGAATCTGATTGGTCCGTCCAGCTCTGAAACGCATAGATATATACACTAGATGTCGCCTGGCCTATTGTTGTCTATTGGACGGAATGCGTCAATAGCGCCGCCATCTTGCTACAGGGTAGCGCTCCTTTGAAATGAATGCGGGACCAAGGTACAGTGGAGGACTGTGGCCATGCAAAGCCAGAGATATACGCATATACACATATATCTGTGATCGGGAGTTTTCCTGGAAGTTAGTATGTAATTTTTTTTTCTAATTACGAAAATTATAATTTTACATAACTTTTCTACATTGATGGATCAGTGACCGCACGGGCATTCCTGACAAAAAGCTTGTGTTTGTGTGTACAGAAATGTACTATTTACCCTCCCTGTTAAATTTGATCTAATCATGTCCTGAAACACAGCTCCTCTCCTGCTTTCACTTCTCATACTGACTGAGGGAGTGATTCGTTTGTGAATGAATCCCCCGAACGACTCTTTCACTAACGTTAGCCGACAATAATACAAGTTTCTGGCAGCGCAGAATCTCGTTGTCATATTCCTTTTGCATTGTTTGCTGATTTTATTTAACAAAACTAGCATAAGCCGAGTGTTTAGTGCGAGTTGGAGCTGCTTTGCCATATGGTGAATGCAGTAAGTGACTGTTATCATCAATAACGTTACCTGTTTAGCACAAAAGTTCAGAACTTACAAAAACAGAAAAAACATAATATTACCTATGAAATGTTCTGCCTTTGTCCTTTATTTTTTTTGTTTGCTCGTTACTACACCCGTAGACAGCGCTAAAGTCCCGCATCTTCATGTAATAACACTGTCTTGACTAGTGCGGTTGAATGACGTTTGTCCTGGGAGCACTGTACCAATGTGGCGGCGCTATTGACACATGCCCAGGGTCCCTATGCGATATCTAGTGTATATATCTATGTCTGAAACGTCCTGAGGGTGGGTGGTTTCCGTTTAAGTTTCTGCCTGTAAGCAGGCAGGAGCAGAACAGAAGAGTGATTTGATTTGCCAAACGGTGGGCGGGGGAGGGATTTGTAGGCATCCCAGATTGGGGAATAGCAGTGGTCCAGAATACAATCACCACGCGCAGACACCACAGTATGGACAATTTAGCTTACCCGATTCACCTGTACCGCATGTCTTTGGACTTGTGGGGAAAACCGGAGCACTCGGAGGAAACCCAAGCGAACACAGGGAGAACATACAAACTCCACACAGAAATGCCAACTGACCCAGCCAAGGCTCGAACCAGCGATCTTTTTGCTGTGTGGCGAACGTGCTACCCACTGTGCCTACGTGCAGCCCGTAATGGTTATTATTATTATTATACTAAATATCAAATATATAAACATTATAGTGAATGTTATAAAATATAGCATGTTTTAGTGACCTCAATATAACCCCAAACGAATGTGTGAAAAGGTTTTAAGCTCCTATGCCATGATTTATACAGCTAAAATAGCTTGGGGTGAAATCAAGCCCTAGGATCACTCTGGTTACAAAATGAGTACAGGACATTGATATTTCTATTTATTTATTTATTTTTGCCATGTTAGTTTTTTTTTACAGAGTTGATCACAACAAATAAGGAAAAGTCATTCAATTTGAAGCAAAAAATATCTTAAGCGTGTATTTACTGATGTTAAACATGGAATCAAATTGACCCCTAAGGTTATAGGAGGGCTAATTCTCTCCATGCCATTGATTAGATGACATGTCAATTAAGACACTACGCTTCTTACAGAAATCTGTGTTTTATGAATATTATGGTAGAAAAAGCCCTGAATGAGATACATGTCACATGTTCTAGTGAAATTTGAGAAAAAGGAAGTAAGATTGCTGGGTGAAAATGAATTATACAACCTTGCTTTGGCTTAATCCCTAGTAGGGCTCGCCACAATAAAATGTTCTCCCCTTGCCAATCTGCATGAGGTTAGAGAGCAAAACTACAGACAATAGGCACAGTCACACTGCAGTTTTTGCCCCTTCGATTTCCATTCATATGCAATCTGAATGCTCCAAAAACGCAAGCTCATGTGACAAGTTTCGTATATCACAGCATTCCAGGGTTCAAGCTTGGTGAATTCTAACCTGCAAATTTGTATCACGTGAATACATGAGATCACAACATGACCTCTTTGTACAGAAATATAAAAAAGGAGAAATTTTTCATCTCTTTATTATTTTTGTCTCATTATTTTTGTTTTAGTTGACTTAAGTTCATTAAGTTGTTATTTTTAGTTGTACAATTGTTAATGTGCTCATGTGTTGAATGAGTGAATAAATTGATTTGTAACACTTACAGTGCTTGCCCATCCTTTTAGTTACATAAACTCGACTACTAACATTTGCTCATCTAAAATGACTGGCATTTGTGGTATTTATTATTTAAAGCCCAAAAAGCTACATTTATTTCGAATGCTGCTTTTAACAGGATGTTCTTTTACAGTTTTTTTTTCCAACTGCTTAACCACAAAATCATTTCTTGTCATATGATTTCTGAAACATCTCACTCAAACTGACAACTACACCCCAAATCCAGAAGTTATTTCATGGTCTTGGATTTGAATAAAACACTTTTTTTCAAAACACTACACACAACTCTCTAACCCTAACCTAACAAACTGTAGGGATAGTTTACAGTTTAACCCAAAGAATGACCAGTCTGGTAGATGAAGAAGAGCCGGAGTAATTAAAATCAATTCACAGTTAAATACTGAGAAACAGGATAATGAAAAGGATAAACGTTGGTCCATGATGAGATGGATTGGAAAGCCGAAATCAGAATCCTTCAACACACTCACACACACTCCTCACATGTGGAAACACTAATTTCCTAACTGATCACTAACCAATCACTGCTTTACTCTAGTATAGGCCAAAGGTGATGAGACACCGGGCTGTTCTGGTCCAAAAAACAAATGGTTTGCCACCCATCCACAATTTGTAGTTTTGTGCTTATCCCATGTTCACTGTTTCTCAATCTAAAATTCTAAATTCCACGGAAAAAAAAATAGAGGAATTCTTAAGAGTCTGGTGCTGTAAAGTGTTTGGCCAACCCTATGCCATCATGATGCTTCTCCAGGCAATGGACATTATGTTTTTTATGCTTTATACAACAGTAATGTTTGGCCTATATAAAAATTTTTTTCATTTTTTTCATTGCATTGGTGTTTACAGTGTATCTATACTCCTCTTAGCAGATTATTGTCACTGTAGACATTTTATTGAACTGTAGATTATGAAAAAGCAAAGAGATTTAGAACAACAATGAAAGAAAGGCGGAAGAAAGTCCAGTGCACACAGGATGCACAGCAATATGCACATATCTTTACAAATTAAAAATAATTAAAGGATTGAAACATTACAAAAATTATTACTTTCTACATATATATAAAAACCACTGCCTCCATGTCTTTTTCTCGGGGGGCTTTTTCAGTTCATTCATGATAATTTGTTTTTTTTACAATGTTATTAGTGGTAGTATTTAGTATATGTATATTTATATTTGTTTCATTAAAAGCAAGCTTAGATTTGTCCACCTGTCAGGTTTTGGACCATATGGGGCATAGGACATGTACTTGGATAAAACTGAATTTAGAAATAGTTTTAAAACAAATCTTTGCGCTTAAATGAAATTAAATATGTAGGCTAATGGATGTCTTCAGCTGAGTGCGTACAATACAGTTTCCTTATCTACGAAAAACAAAGAGGCCGAATTAGGAGGTTCATTCTTTTATCCTGGAGCTGCAGATGGTCTGTTTAACTGTTTTCTCACTAGTGAAGTGTTCGGTTTTTTCCACTTACAAAGACCGCCATGTAAATAGCAAATGCAACGCAACTTACTCTCAAACGAAATGTGAGATGAGACTCTGATTAGTTTATGCTCAAAACACACCCATAACTCATTACACGAATAAGCACAACCCTGTTAGACCATGCGCCGCAGTGTAAACTGTATTTTTCCATCCCTAAAATAGCAAAAGTAGATTAGGACACCCTTAATGCTTTTGCGCCATGCACTTTAGACTTTGCACCTATATCCTTAAAACAGAGCCCTTTGTGTTTGAATGAGTTCTCTTATGCTGCTAAGTCTTTTCTCAGCAACTAACTTTGTGGACTTCAGTGCGTCAGCAAGTAAGTGATTGTCTGTGAAGCAAATTATTGGTATTGCATTTTCAATGTTACCAGTAGTCGGCTAAGAGAGCAGCGAGCCAGAAATATTGCATTTTTAATTCCGTCTGGGAGTTACTCATTTTGATTACCCGGAACAGAGAGAGAACTTTCCATTTTTCCCATGAGAAAAATTAGATCCTTAGTCCTCCTTGACTTCCTCCATCTAAATGATTTCCAAATGAGGCATCACTATATAAAATCATCTTGAGTTCACTGTCTTTTCGCTGAGGTATTGGAAGTTCAGCAGTACCCTTTTGGACGTTCAGACGCAATTCTATTTGCTTCATGAATAGTTTGTACAGAGAAATGTTTTATTTCGGAATCTACACTGAAAAAAAGATTTAAAGATGATTGCTTGGAATTACTTTTTTTTAAGTTAAGTGGTTGTAAACAATTTATTTGGGCTGAATTTAAACAAACAAACTAAGTTGAACATTACTCAATTTAATTTTTTAAATTAAACACAAATAAATTGTTTGCAACAATTTTGCTGACATTTTTTTCCTCAGTGTAGGCTGCTGGCATCAAACATGACATAAGGCCTCCTTTGTCTTGTGGCCCAAATTATTTAGCTGATCCTTTTCCTTCTCATTAAGTAGGGAGTCCTGTTCCACTGCACGTGCAGGACCCAATTTTATAGTCTTTATATTTTTGATGTAGTTTACATGATTAACCTGCACTTTATTGTCAATAGTTATTTTCCTCACGCCCAACTTGAAACATCGATCTTAGGTGAGGTATTACCGTTGGGGAGAAACTTTGTATGCCTCCCCATAAGTCATCCACATGACAAGCGAATACACCAGTCACAGTGCAGTCCTGATCCAACCAGTAGAACACAGCTGGATCGAGTTTTGACACTGTTCGTCCTGACATCGTAGATTCAAACACACAGCATCTCTTCTCTTCGGTGGATACTGTGAATGG